ACATAATTCTGAGCTAAAGTTCTGTTTGATATGCATATATGTTCTTAATTTTGGCTTTAATATAACATTTTCAAACCATTGTTCTTCAAATTTCAATAACAACTTGTGTTTAAGCGAATTGACATTACAGCTTAAATTGTTCCAGCCCGTTCTCATCCCAAGGCGTCATCTAACTGACGCTTTTGACCATGCTTCAACATCCGACGCACATGGCACCCTTTAGCGTCAATATGAGACGATAACCCTTCCCCAGACCTAAACCTACCCATAACGGAAGCGTCATGTGACTGACGCTAAAAACGGAAGCGTCATCTCACTGACGCTAAAGGCGTTAGATGACGCCCGAGGATGAGCGTCATCTACCTGACGCTAAAGGGTGCCATGTGCGTCGGATTTTGAAGCATGGTCAAAAGTGTGAATAAGATGACGCCTTGGGATGAGAATGCGTTGATTGTTCCTATACAACATATCCACCTCCTCAAAAATAGAATAGATCTCCTTTGGGGATCTGTGAGCTTTACTCCACCTAAATACTCTCTTATTTACTCTATCCTCTGCCATTCGGATTAGACGGTTCCACAATCGTATCATTTCACATTTTCTCTGTACAGCTCCTGGTACCCAGCCCATATCTCCCTGAATTGCTAGGATTGGAGCAAATTTATGAACCCCCAAAAAACATTGTATGGCTCTAGTCTATTCTGTATGGTATCTACAGTTTTGGATTCTTTCAAGCCCCACACCCCTGCAGCATAGTTCAGTATAGGAGAAACACATGCATCACAAAGCCGAGTAAATGTAGAATATCCAAGATCCTTACATACTTTCAGTTTATTGATAACTGATCCTAAAGCTCTCCCGCCAGAATCAACGAGTGACTTAATACCAACCTCATAGGTCAAAAAATCATCAAGAAAACCCCCCAGATATATATATGAACTAACATAGTCCAAATTGACTAAGCCATAGCTGAATATATGTGTACTTCTTTCAGTGCCTTTCTTTCTAAAATGCATTACATGTGTTTTGCTTTGATTTATAGCTAATCGCCACCTGAAACGCCACATATTAACCACATTTAACATTTTCTGTAATTCAGACTCAGACTCAGCCAATAAGACTATATCATCTGCATATAATAGAATTCCCAATAGTACCATCAAATAATACTCTTAAATTAGCATCCTTAATTTGTAAAGCTAAATCATTCACAAATAAAGCAAAAAGGGTTGGAGAGAGTGCATCACCTTGTTTTACTCCAAAAGGTGTATCAAACCAATCAATAAATAAATCATTAATCTCAACACTAGCAAACGTATCACTATACATTACTTGTATTGTTTTATAGAATTTTCCATCCACTCCTGCTTCAATTAGTTTAAAAGCAAGCAGCTCTCTATTAATCCAGTCAAAGGCTTTTTGAAAGTCAATAAAACATGCAAAGGTGGATTTACTTTCAGCAATTCTAGCTCTAATAATAGGCGATACAGAATCGATGCATGCTCGTTTCCTTCTGAATCCTGCTCATCAACAAGATACTGACCCATTTCTAAGTACTGTGTAAGCCTATAATTCAGTATATTGGAATACAATTTATAGGCTGTACTAAGAAGACTAATGCCCCTATAATTAAGGGGTATTCTGGGATCATTTCTTGATGACTTTGGAACGGGTTTAATAATAGACTTACGCCATGTTGACGGGATTATACCATGGTCAAAGCATGTCTTAAAAAGATGAAATAGGATCTCTAATAGCTGTGGAGTTTTTAAAGCTTCATTTGGGATCCCCTCTATACCGGATGCTTTCTTCAATTTTGCATTATCAATGGCCCTTTTAACCTCTTCCATAGTAATTTCATGATTCAAAAATATAGTTGGACAATAATCTGGTGTATCCATAATCATCTCAGACTTACATTTCTTAACACAAATGTTATTTAAATGTGCATCATCAAAACCTGGCGAAATATAATTTCCCGAAAATAAATCTGAAAAATCTTTGCCCCATTTCTGATCACTATTTCTTTTTCGTTTTCTGTTTCACCATTCTCTAATATAATTTCCATTGGAATTTTTTTCAATTTCTTAGGACCCAATTTCTTTCCAAAATTGTTGTGGGTTATTATTTTTTAATCGATCCAACTGTAATGCTTTTCCTCTTCTAAATTGCCTTTTATAGAACCGTATCCTCTTATCAAAAATAATCTGAGTTTGTGTATATTTATCTTTAAGTTGTCGTCTAATCAATGGATTTTTACATTTTAGAAATTCCTTTTCTGCATGTCTTTTATCGTTCCACATTTTTAAGTTCTGCATTATATGTTGTATACAGCAAAATGAGCCTGGGGTCAAATTGACCCCAAAGAACACAGATGGTACAAAATGTGTACAAGACATTGAAAACATATCATCATGTTAATTTTATGTTTACCCAGTTGTCCCCATTAAATTAGGAAAAGTCATTAAATATAAAGCAAAAAAAAAAGTGTTAATCATGTATTTAGAGGAGTTAAACACTGAATGGGGTCAAATCAACCCCAAAGGTAATTTATATGTCAGTAATTACTCGCCCTCATGTTGTTCCAACCCTGTAAGACTTTCGTTCATCTTCGGAACACAAATAAAGATATTTTTGATAAAATCTGAGAGTTTTCTCACTCCTTCATAGGCTTAGGCAATTGCATCTGCCGGCCCAGAAAAGTTAGTAAAGACATTGTTAAAATAGTCCAAGTGACTACAGTGGCTCAACCGTAAGTTTATCAATCGGCGAAAATATATATATATATATATATTTTTTTTTTGCGCACAAAAAGTAACGACTTTATTCAACTATTAATATTCTTCCGTGTGAACCTCTGACGTGAGTTCACGAGAGCGCCACGATGCATGCGCGAGAACTGAGAAGATGACGCAGAAGCGTCTCGATGTAGTGTTTAAAATGCTTCTAAAGTGTGTATTTCCTGGATGTCCGAATCGTGAGAAACCAACGAGAAAACATAAAAAAAAACATGAATGGCTTACCTTTCACACTTTCCCATCAAATGATCGTGAGCGTCATCGGTCATGCATCGTGGCGCTCTCGTGAACTCATGTCAGAGGCCCACACAGAAGAAAATGAATAGTTGAATAAAGTCGTTATTTTGGGGGCGTTTTGCGCACAAAAAGTATTCTCGCCGCTTTATAAACTTAAGGTTGAGCCACTTCTAGTCACTTGGACTATTTTAACGATGTCTTTTCTAACTTTTCTGGGCCGGCAGAATGAAATTACCTAGTAGCCTATGAAGGAGTGAGACACCTCTCAGATTTCATCAAAAATATCTTAAGTCTTACGGGGTTCGAACAACATGAGGGTAATTACTGACAGAATTTTCATTTTTGGGTGAACTAACCCTTTAATTATTTTGTTACTTTTAACAAATAATCTTTATAACCCACTCGGAGTATGATCCATCCCCTAAAGCGCAACTAGAGCTGGAAAAGGCCTCAGTTACTAGTTCTACCATCAGATAAGACTGTTTATTGCTCGAAAAAATTTAGCCATGTGAAAAGCAAAGGCCATAAAGACACATAGCCTGTAAAACAGACCTTCTTGCATTCATTTATAGACAAACTGTTCTATAAATGAACATGCATATCTCCAGAACATTGCGTGTATGATTACTATTGTCATGTATGACTTTGGTATTGGATACTATTTTATGCAAGCTTTATGAGAGAAATACTAGTTAATGTAACGCCACCTATATCGTGTCTCCTATTAAAGGAATGCTCATTCAACGACTCACACTTTAGTGTACATCACCTCCTCATAGACTGCAGTGTGTGTTTGTTATATTAATCAGAGTATAAATGGAAACGAACTGCCAGACCCATTCTAACCATGCTCCATCCAAAGGGCCAGGAATTTTCCCGCTTGGAAATTGCACTTTTCCCATTTGTCAAGCCAAACTCAAAAGGTGTGACTTCGGTGGAACTTAAAAGCCAACACAAAGTTCCCTCCCTTCTCCTCCTGGTTGCTGTGCGTGTGAGACCGGAAACGCGGTCCGACTGCGAGGTTGTGGGCCGCCAGACCCGAACACATCAAGCCATGTGCAACTTCCTCGACCATAACAGAGTCAGACTAGCATCGACTAAGTTTATCATAATTTCTTCATTCAACGCGGAAGAAATTGATTGCAATAAACACGTGTGTGTGTGTTTACGGACGTGATATCAGGAAGCAACGTAATACGCACATTACGACAGGGAGGTGATGGTGGTGCGTAAATTAATATTACAGACGTCCTGTGGTAAAATTACATTACTCCATCTACCCTTGTAAAACTAATCCCGTCCTAATAGGGCTTTATACATATATTTCGTAACCAATTCAAATGTAACCATAACCACCATCATTGTTTTACACCAGCATGCTGATAACGATTCTTTAGTCATTCGTCAATCCTGTAGCCTGAAACACTGGCCTCCTGAAAATCTACCCTTACATTATATGACAGAAAATATGATGTATATTTTAAAGAGACAATATATGTTTTTATATAGTAAGTATATTAAGTAAACATTTACCAACAAAATGATTTTAGTTTAATAACATTGTATTTTAATTATTTTTATAATTGTTATTTATGTGTTATTTTAACAAATTATTTTTAATGTAACTTCAAATCTCTTTAAATGATCAGTTCATGATCATTTGCACTATCAGTAAATAATGAATAATGTTAGAAGATCATTAAAACGACACAAAGTTTTTATACGTGTGCAACATACCTAACACCATGTATATGTCAAACACACATGGGTTTCTTTTATGTTTGTGAATAATCCTATAAAGTAAATGGTAAATCGTAAATGGACTGCATTTATATAGTGCTTTCACAGACCCAATGGCCACCAAAGCGCTTTACATTTTGCCTCATATTCACCCATTCACACACTCATTCATACACCGATGGTAAAGAATCAGAAAAAGAAATAAACCAATAGAAATAAGAATATTTTTGGAAAATATGCCAACGTTACTACTATATCCATATACTACTCTAAAGCATGGTTTGTCCTCAGGTCTCTCGGGTCTCATCAGATCAGATGCAAGAAGATACTGAGAAAGCAAATTGCTTCTGTAAGTCATAACAAGAAAAGAGAGAGTTATTTGAACTGGATGCATTGAGAAAAGAACATAAATGTAGTTGTTGAATAAAGTGTGATTTAACACAACATTGGAGAACTTTTGAGAAATGTATTTACCATGACTCAGTAGCCTGGTGAGTGAGATGCTGGCATTTGATTTAGTTGTGGTGCCAGATGTGGTGTTCGCTCTGGTGCCAGCTGTGGTAGCTGTGGTGCTAGCTGTAACGCCAGATGTGTTGTTCGCTCTGGTGCCAGCTGTGGTAGCTGTGGTGTTAGCTGTAACGCCAGATGTGTTGTTCGCTCTGGTGCCAGCTGTGGTGTTAGCTGTGATGCCGGCTGTGGAGTTAGCTGTGGTGTTAGCTGTGATGCCGGCTGTGGAGTTAGCTGTGGTGTTAGCTGTGGTGCCAGCTGTGGTGTTAGCTGTGGTGCCAGCTGTGGAGTTAGCTGTGTTGTTCGCTCTGGTGCCAGCTGTGGAGTTAGCTGTGGTGCCAGCTGTGGAGTTAGCTGTGGTGTTAGCTGTGGTGCCAGCTGTGGTGTTAGCTGTGGTGTTAGCTGTGGTGCCAGCTGTGGAGTTAGCTGTGTTGTTCGCTCTGGTGCCAGCTGTGGAGTTAGCTGTGGTGCCAGCTGTGGTGCTTACAACATTAGTAGAATTGACATTAGCTAGATTAACCCGAACAGAGGACTCAAGTACACTTGTTGGTGCTCCTAGCACAGTTCCTTTAAAACAAATTGTAAAATGGCAGTCAATAATCAGCTCAGGGTTTATGCATGTACAGTTGGGACCAAAAGTCTGAGGCCACTAGTAAAAATTTAGCATTTTTCATATTTATTATACATTTTCCCTACTACATTTATTATATAAAAACATTTATTTTGTGAAAGTTGAATAGAAACATTTACATATTTCACAACGTGTTAGCATGTGGTATGTCCACCTTTTACTTCAATGACAGCAGCACTTAAGCTGACATAGAAATTAAGCAACTTAATGATCCATGCAAAAAAAAATATTTTAATTTATAAACATAAGGTCATGTTATAAATGTGTTTATTTGATTAGTGACCTAGAGCAAAACCTACAATATTTGATACATTTTTAATGGATTGTTTTACAAAAATAAGGATATTTTATTAAAATATTTTTAACACCGCTTACATTGACCAAAGTGCTGCAAAAAGGACATAAAATCCCATTAATATACCAACATATTTAAGGCTACTGTTATTCATGCATGAATCAATATGACTCCTGTCGTAGTTAAGGATCACTCTTCATTGGTTCATGATTTCATATCTTCACTAATCATGTGTTCATGTTGAAGTAACTATTAATTCAGGTATTAGTACATGATTATTCATGCCCTGTTATTGTAAAGTGTTACCGAGATTTTTTATGAAATATATTTCTTTCAGCATTAGCTACACATCCTATAACCTGTAATGTAATGTAACAAACTCACCATTGTTTGATCCCTTCAAGATGTCAAGGAACATGAGAATTTGGGAATTAGCAATGTTGCTGATGTTGAAATTTGTGCCATTGCCACCGCTTAGGAAGGATGTGACGTTTCCATCAATGGGGATGGTGAAAACACACTGAATCAAGCTTGACTGTATCAAACCCTGGATATTGTTTACATTAGGCTGGGGAAAAAGGATATTGATTCACATATCAATATCTGATTGTTTGATAATTATTTGAGTGCTCAAACAATACGCTCACAAACATCCTTACTATATTTGTGATCCACAGTGTATTATTGTAGAGCATTGTAGTTTGGAAGAAAAACCCGCCATTATTATTTCCACAGACAAAGATTACATTACGATCCTGCAAAAAATAAGAAGAAACAAAAGTTGGGGGTGTGTTATTTTGAGAAGGAGAAAATGGATGTAGCACCAAGCAGACTGCCTCTGTAATGTAAAAGCAGGATTAGGTTGGTTTCCATCTAGTCTGGACATTTCTGCATATGATACTCCAAAAAAAAAAAAAAAAGCATAATTTATTTTTTATTTAAATGTATAATAGTTGTTTCATAACTGGGTTGGAAAAAACAAACAAACAGACAAACTTGTTTTATTCACATTTCCCCACACACATTATTAACAGACTACTCGATTTTAAAAACGGACTGAAATGTATGTACTGTATGTTTTGTATTAAGAAATTTTGTTTTATTTGATCATATAGGAAGTATGTTAGTGATGATAAAATTTGTACATGGTCCCTTTTCAAAATTTTTTAAAAAAACTCAAATAGCAGACTGCTTAAACTGTCACAGTGTGGTTGCAAATAAAACTTTAAATCAGTTCAAACGTTGCCTTATTTCTTACCAAGATGCAATTATATAAAGTTTATACTCTTTATTATATACAGAAATGGACCTTGGTGAACATATTTAGACAGTTTGTGAGACTTGTTTTCAGACAGTTTAATATAACTTGCAAAAAGGTCTAGTACAAATGTTACTGTCACTAAACGGCAGCTGTTACAGTTGCTAGGCAACAAGAACACCCCTTCGTAGGATAGACCGTCCCATTTAACAATGCTCGGTCTGACCTTCGCGGCATTCGAAGGCGTGGCCTTTAAAGTCTGAGTCCTTCGAAGGATGCAGCCTTTGAATTGGGTCACATCCTAAATGAGTGAGTTAACAAGGGGCAGGTGGACACAATAGGTTGCTATGGTAACAAACAACTAGGAAACTAGGTCACACCAAGCGTGCTGCACAAGCCCTGAAAAGTGAAGCCAAAGCATCTCAGGTGGTTGGTCCCAGTATAGGTAATTAACCCTGCCCACCCCATGAAGTCTAATGGGACACGATGGAAACTAAATAATCAAATTAAACTTCAAATACATTTTTTCCAAAGATGTTTTCTGTCATTTTAGGTATAGTTTTCATCACGCTGATTTAAGTTTAAGTGTTCGTTTAAAAAAAAAAAAAAAAAAGTTTAGTCTTAGTTATTTGATGCTATAAAAACGGGAATGAGACGTCATGATTGACAGAATCTCTAAACGAAGTAGTCCAACAGACTTTTTGGGGGATTTTCGGGAGGAGATTGGAGCTTCAACTTTAAAGGGTTAGTTCGCCCATTTAAGACATGAAGTTGTATGCAATCCTTACTAGCACTATAGTGCATACACACTGACCCACTCTGTTGTCACCTCCCTGGTCAGAGTTCTGGCCGCTGGAAGTTTTTCAATAAAGTACTCCCGGTTATTTTCCGGGGCCACAAATCTGCGTTTTTACGTGAAAAAATGATGTGCGTTTCAAAGCTTGATTAATTTACCACACAAAAAACACACCGGTCAAAATTCATACCTCAGTTTTAATCGGCACTATTTTCTATCCATTTCTATCAATCCGCGCTGCTGTCAACGTCAACAGTGCGCACGTTCCGATCAGCTGTTGATAGTGTGACTCGCTGACAACATGTCTGACTGCGAAACTTCTGATGATGAAACCAATTTTAGCACAATGTCAGACGGATCAGATGATGAAAGTAATTTTAGCACAACGATTGATTGCAACACAAAACCTCAATTGTGTGTGTGTTCAATCAAATAGTTTTCTCAGCAAATTGTACCAATATCCCTATATAGGCCTACTGTTTTTATATTAGACATCTTTTCACGTGTTTTATAATGGAGACTATAACATCAGCTTGTTTACCGTACAGTTTAGACATGGGATCATAAAGTTAGTAAATAGAGCTTACCCGTGGTACTGGTACAGCAAAACTCTTTAATTTTCCTTTTCCTCCTTGGTTGGGGATGTAATCGTCTTCGCTGAAGTGAGCACTACACACACGTAAATCCTTTATTCTGGATATTTTAGCTCCCGCAGAGTAGCCGATGGCGACCAGCCAAAGCTGTCTCATAGTTATATTCGAAACAGGAAAACGATGGAATCTGAACTTTGATCACGGCACATCCTTGTGGTCACAGCCTGGGAATTTACAAGTTCGCACCATTGTTAATTTAATACTTTTTACGTCGTTGTCAATCGATTGTGTAAACACTATGGAACAGCTGATCGGAATGCGCGGATTGATAGAAATGGATAGAAAATAGTGCCGATTAAAACTGAGGTATGAATTTTGACCGGCGTGTTTTTTTGTGTGGTAAATTAATCAAGCTTTGAAACGCAAATTATTTTTTCACGTTAAAACGCACAGTTTTGTGGCCCCGGAAAATAACCGGGAGTACTTTATTGAAAAACTTCCAGCGGCCAGAACTCTGACCAGGGAGGTGACAACAGAGTGGGTCAGTGTGTATGCACTATAGTGCTGGTAAGGATTGCATACAACTTCATGTCTAAAATGGGCGAACTAACCCTTTAATTTCTACATGCCCATAACTGTTTATTTCACACTGACACAATGCGTGGCTCTGTAATAAACATTGTACTAACCGTTTCTACGGGAGTGAGGGCAGTACATTGATATCGCAGCTCCAATTCACGCTCACTACTGTGCAGACTCGGGTCCCGCGTTCACTACTGCGCAGAATCAGGTCCCAAATCAGCGCCATATTAGGACTTTGGCGGCTTCACTTTTCAAGAGAGGGAAGGGGCATCGTCCATCTTTTTTTACAGTCTATGGGTCACACTAGGAAACTAGGTCATTTCTCAATTCCAAGTACGCAAAGTTCGGACAAGCGTCCTTGGTAGTTGGACTTTTTGGAACCCAAGTGTGATTCAGGAGAACAAAAGGACGCAAGTATGGTAATTCTACAAATGGAACAGTAGCGTTCTTGATAGTGTCATTCAGCTCGCTCTGGCGAGTCCGGTTATCTCAGTGTGTATATTTTAGGCAACAATGAAATTAAATATGTTAGAAATATAAATAGCCAGTAGCCACAAAAATGTGGTTCAGACAACGCATACAATGATTATCTTCACTGCTGCATGTATATTTATTAGGGCCGGGACTCGATAAATTTTTTTTATCTAATTAATCAGAGGCTTTGTAATTAATTAATCGAAATTAATCGCATTTTAATTGCATAAATATTTGACCTGAGAACAGTGAGAAGTAATTTTTTTCACATGGATTTTTAGTATACTATTGAATAATGACTGAATACATAAGCTAAAGCAACAAAATAGTTTATTTTTGTTCAACCAAGTCCAGCAGACCAGTGCAATTTTTGCCATTAAGTGTAGCAATAGCATATTGAACACACTAATGGTGTGTTCACACCGAACGCGAATTTAATTATTTGCGCGAGTAGATTACATACAAAGTCAATGCAAAGACGCGAATAGACGCATCAATCGCGCCGGGCGTTGCGAATGACGCGAATTGGGCGACGCGTTTGCCGCGAATGTCTTCCCGGCAAGTTGAAAAATTTGGACTCGAGCAAATGTTCAAGCGTCTAACTAGACGCGATAGACGCGTATTTGACGCTCTATTTGCGTTCGGTGTGAACACACCATAATAGCAATAGCGAATTCCTTGTTGCATAGCTTGCACACAACCATGCTCTTATCGACGCTTCCATCCATTCGCTTTTTATAACAAAATTTCCCATCCACCGGCCAACCAAAGCGATCTCGTCAGCTTCTTCGTCATGAGCGCTAGTTGGTGCGCCAGTATAATCGGTCCGCCGAAACTCATCCAGTGAGAAACGTTCCGCGGTGCAAAACTAAGTGTGATTAAAATAATTTGTGTAATTAATTAACGCGTTAAAGTCTGTAATTAATTAATCTTAATTAACGCGTTAAAGTCCAGGCCCTAATATTTATAACAAAATGAAATGTAAAAGAGTAGAGGCAGGGATGTTTTATATTAAAAAAATATTAAATGTATTAATATGTGGTTCAAGCAATATGTGCACAGATGTAGGGGAGAGCAGAACACAACCTAACACTTTTTGACTTTCTCAGTTTGTGTAAACCTACTTAGGGTTCAGAGTATTTATTCCCACATTTTTACACATGTGGCTTTGTTTCATTAATACAGTATATATTTCTTTCTTGATATACCCTGAAAGAATGGAAGTAAAATGTGACAACAAATATACAAGACTAACTAAAATATTTTCATATAAAATTATTAATGTTTTCATATAAAATATGGCATTTTTTATATTATTGAAAATAAACTAATTTGACAACAAACACACCGGAAAACACAACTATACAGCATATAGTTCAAAACATAATTAATAATTTCTGAACATTGACTTTTTTCTCCTTTTTCTCAATAGAACTCATAAAAGTATAGAATAGCATAGTTCTAATAGGGGCACATTTGTAACAGTGTTAACGTTCCCCACCTGCGCAACTGGGATTTAAACTCGGCTAGTGTCTTCTGCTGGTTAGATCAACATTACATAACTATCTAAACTGTTAAATAACAGATATAATATTAGAATATTACCAGATTTGTCTGATTTTAAATTTAACAAATTAATTTTAAAAAAATTATATAGCAAAAAATTTACTTCTGCCATGGTTAAATAAATGTTCCAAAGATTTCTGAATTTTGGCACAATTTTTTCTCTATATAGTGTTGATATGGCTACTAGTAAATACACTAACTTTTGTCATGCTAGCATGTGTGGAAGTATTTAAAACAAGTGTGTTACTACTAGCCCTGCGTTAGGTTGTGCCCCTCTCACCCCTACTCTGATAATCTGTGCACTGTAATATAATGAAATATGACAAAACACTCTTTTTGTTAAACATCAGTTTTAAAGATCAATAATAGCCATTATAAAAGTATAAGTAAAAGGTATAAGCTATACAATAAAAAATAAAGACAAGTAAACGATTCAGTCAAACGTACAAAGTCAGCGCTCTAGTAGGCTACAATGTTACAGTTAAA